ACAGCCGTGTGTGCACACACGGACACGCGGGGCACAGCCGTGTGTGCTGACACACACACACACAGACACACACACACACAGATAGACACACACATACACACGTGGGGCACAGCCATGTGTGCTGACATGAACACGTGGGGCACAGCCATGTGTGCTGACATGAACATGTGCAGCATGACCAAAGACACGCTGGCGCACGCGGGGCTGGGCACCCACGCCACTGCCAAGCACATGTGTGTGCAGACACGGGTGTGAGCACACCATGGCCTGGCTGAGGGCACACGTGTGCACACAGGTGTGTGCATGCACAGCAGAGCCAACTGTGTGTGCATTCAGCACACACACAGCAGGGCTCCATGCACACGTGTGCCTATGGACATATGTGCACACCTGTGCATGGACAGCACACTGGGCATGCAGCATAGCCAAGGCTGCCCATGTACACGCATGTGATGCACACTGGCATGCTGTGTTGAGCACACACGGCACAGCCATGTGCACACCCTTGCACATGTGTGCACAAACAGGCAGGTATGAACAGTACAGCCAAGTGCACACAGGTTTACATGCATGTGCATGGACACACGGTCACACACAGTGCTGACATGGGGTCAGCAGTGTCACTGGGGCACACACATGTGTGCTTGGAACTTTGGCAACACAGCACCCTGCACAGCACACATACCACACGTTTGTGCACATGCCTACGTGTGTGCACACACCCCTACATGTGTGTGCACATACCCCTGCATATGTACACACATCCCTCTATGTGTGTGCACACACCCCTACATGCAGGGGTATGTACATGCACATACCTCTGCATATGTACACACACCCCCCTATGTGTGACCTACACGTGTGTGCACACCCCCCTACATGTGAGGCCTACATGTCTGTGCACACAGACCTACAACACCTGCATGTGTATGCACACACCAGATGGCTGTGTGCACACCTACACACGTGTACACACACACCTACACATGTGCACACACACATACACCTGCATATATGTGCGCACACACATACACGTGACCTACGTGTGTGCACACATGTACATGTGACACCTACCTACATGTCTGTGCACACAGACCCACCTGCAACACCTGTACACGTGTCCGTACACTCCTACACATTTGCACACCTACACACATACGTGTGCATACACATACATCTGCATGCCTGTGCACACACACCTACATGCCTGTGCATACATCTGCATGTGTGCACACCCCCCCCCCACATGTGCACACCCCCCACACACATGTGCACACACCTACACACGTGTGCACACACATACATCTGCACGTATGTGCACACACACCTACGTGCCCAGGTAACGCCCCCCAGCCGATGTCCCCCCGCTGCCCACACTGGGTGCCCCCGGGTGCCTCACTGTGGCCCGACGGGCCCCCCGCTCTGGCCCCCAGCCCAGCGCCCCTCCCCGCTCCCCGCAGGCTCCGCCGCCCCCCCGGGACACTGGCTGTTCCGCCTGGCCGGCACCGACCCCGGCACGGACCCCGGCACCGCCTCCGACCCCTCCGGCACCGCCGCCGCCCCGGAGAACGGTGAGGCTCAGCCCCCAAGCCCCCCAAGCCCCCCGGAGCTCCCGAGCCCCCCTGACCGTGGTTCTCCCGCAGGCGGGTTCGAGGCGCGACCCCCGGTGCGGGGTCTGCAGGGTCGCAGCCTCAGCGTGCGGATCGCGCCCGTCGGACCCCCGGGGCAGGGGGAGCCGGGCCCCCCCCGCGGCCCCCGACGGCCCACCCGGCTCCGCCGGGCCGCCAGCGCCGAGGGGACCCCGCGCCGGATCCCCCCGGGCCCGGGCAGCCCCGGGGTTGGGGCCCCGCCTCGGATCGTGCTGCCCGAGGGGGACGCGGGTGTCCCCCTGGGTCGGCGCCCCCCCGGCCCACCGGCGCTGGGGCGGTCGCGGAGCTCGGCCAGCCTCCCCCCCCGGCCCGAGGGGGTTCTGCGCCGATCCGCCTCGCTGGGCAGGGGCGCGGGGGGGACCCCCCTGTCCGCCCGGGGTCCCTCCGGGGCCACACTGCAGCGCGGCCGGCAGCCCCCCGGTCCTCTGCGCCCCGCGGCCGTGCCAGAGTCCAGCTTCTGAGCTGCAGATGGGGGTCATCGCCCCCCAGCACCCAGACAGGGGGTCCCGAACTAAACTGGGAGCTCCCGAACTGCGGGTGTCCCAGTTCAAGGGTGCCTGAACCAGAGGATCCCAAACAAGGACTTCCATCCTGATCCAGGAACATCCCGACCTGGGGGCATCCCCCACTGGGGCATCCTGACCTGGGGGCCCCGGAACCGGGGCATCCCCAAGCTGGAGGCAGTCAGGTACTCCAGAGGTGGGTTATCCAGATCCATCATAAGCTGGGGACATCCCAAACTGGACCCTCACAAACCAGGGGCTCCCAAACTGGGGGCATACGAAACTGGGACTGTCCCAAACCAGAGGCTCCCAAATCAGGGACTCCCAGCCTGAGGGCTCCTGAGCCGGGGGGAATCCCAAACCAGGGTATTCCGACCCAGAGGCTCCTAACCAAGGGGCCTCCTGAACCAGAGCCTTCCAAAGAGGGAATCGTGACAGGGGGGCTCCCAAATGGGGCACCTGGACCCAAGGCACTCCTGCCCAGGGCCATCCTGACCCAGAGGCATTCCAAACTGGGGCCATCCTCAGCTGGGGATTTCAGACCTGGGGACATCCCAAACTAGCGTCATTCCAAACCGGTGGCTCTGGATCCAGGGGTATCCCAGCACCGGGCCATCCCAAACCGGGGGCATTTCCCACTCACCCCCCACGCCCCTTCCCCGGGAGCAGGCGGGCTGAGGCTCCCCGGCTCCGCCAGCTCGAGGGCACCAGAGTATTTATTGTACCAGGAGAGTTTTATTCAGAGACGCTTTTTGTTTTCTAAAAGGCGACTATTTTGGGGGGTGGGCGGGTCCCCCACACCACGGTTCTATGCAATACGCGATTCCTCCAGCCAGCTTTTGTACGCGGGGCTCCGCCCCACCGCCGGCGGTTTCTATTAAAGACACGTCAAACAAGTCCGGTGTCCGTGCCAGGGGACGTGTCCGAGGGGGAAACGGGCTTTGTGTCCCATGGCAGGTGGGCATCAGCCTGGGAGTGGGGCTCGGTGGGGTCAGTCCTGGCGGGATCCCGCCCCGCACGGTGGCTGTGCCCGGGGGGAGGTCTGGGAGGGGGTGGCAGCACCAAGAGCACCAGCGGTGTGGGACCGTGGGGCTGTGCCCACCAAGGTACCAGGGAGATGTCTGGAGAAACTTAGTGCAGCCACAGTAAGGCAGGGATGGAGGTGGAGGAGGTGGGATCAGGGTGGAGCTGCAGGAGATGGATGTACAAGCGGAGGAGAGGAAGAGGGTGCTGTAAGTGGACACAGAGGTGGGATCAGGGTGGAGGTGACAGAGATGGATGTGGAGGAAGTGGGACTGGAGTAGAGGGGAAGAAGAGGAAGGTGGAAGAGCAGGAGGTAGGGGGATGAGGTGGATGAAGAAGACAGCAACAGAGATGGAGAGAAGTGGAGACGGAGGTAGAGATGGAATTAGGATTGGGTCAAGGTGGAGGAGAGGGAGGAGGAAGGTGGAGGAGACTATTCCATGCTGGAGGGCTGTTCCAGCCCAAGGCCCTTGCTGTGCCACTGCTGGTGCTGTGGCTGTCACCCTGCTTGACCCATGTTGTCACCCAGGCACACAGCAGCCTTGGGCATGGCAGGTTCCCTGGGGCACCCATGGGTGCTGGCAGTGACATGGACAGGACCCCCTGGCCCCACACCCAACTCCACCTGGGAGGGGATGGGAGCCCTGATATGAGTGACCACCCCAGGCCTGAAGCTGCCCCATCCCATGGGACCAGGCCCATGACAGCCCACATAAAGCACCAAACCATGGTTTTATCACCCAAACTCACCCTAAACCCCACTTCCTACAGCCCTCTGAGAGTCTCTGTCCTAAACCCACTACCCCAAATCTGGGCTGGGACCACCCCAAGCCTGGTGCTGCCCCATCCTGTGGGATGGGGAGCACAACAACATGCACATGGCAAACCCCATCAGCTTATTCAACCACTAAACCCCACTTTGTACACCAAAGTGCCTCTCACAGCTCGAGTCCTAAATCCAGCAGTTGGCACCAATCCAGTGCCAGGCTGGAACCAGCCCAGGTTAAATGCTGCCTCATCCCATGGAACTAGGACCATGACATCCCACACAAAGCAAAATCCCATCATTTTATCCCCCCAACCCTCATTAAACCCCATTTCCTACAGCAAAGTGCCTTCCAAAAGCCCATGTCCTAAATCCATCAGTCGGTACAAATCCAGTCCAGGACCACCCCAAATCCATGCTGGCACCACTCCGAGTCCAAGCTGGGACTACTCCATGTCTGGTATTGCCCCATTTCATGGGACCAGGACCAGGACATCCCACACTAACCCCACCCCCGACCCTCCTCCACCCCAAATCCTGCCCCCACAGCCCCAGTTACGGCCGGCCCGGTGCTGCCGGGGCAGGAAGCAAACGCCGGTGCCTCCGGGCAGTTCTCAGCGAGTGGCACACGGATTTATTGGATTTATTGATTGCTTCGGGGTGCTGGTGCCCCCCGGGTGCCCACCTGGGGCGAGGGGCACGGCGCGAGCGGGGCGGGGGCGAAGCGCTGCCATTTCCATCCTCCCTCTCGCACCGGCTGGGCGGGAACGGCTCCAAATAAAACAAATCTCTCTATAGTTTCTCTCTCTATATATACAAATATATAATATATATATATCTCTGCCGATATATATATATATAGAATCTTCTCTCTCTGGAAAGGATAAAAGGTTAATTTGTCTGTGCATGCACGACCAAAGCCACCAACCCACAGGGACAGCGGGTGCCGAGGGACGTGCACCCTCACCCGCCAGCACCCCGAGAGCCCAGGGGGGCCACATCCTGCACGTGCCCAGGTTATTGCTGGTCAGGTCCCATCCTGCTCCGGCAAACAAGCGGTGGGGGAAGAAGCCGAAGGAAGGAAATCCCACTGCAAAGCGCCGGCGAGCTCGTTGTCACCTGGCTGGTGCCCAGTGGCACCCGCCGCCGGGGCACGGAGGAGGCGGTGGTGTCACCCCAGGACGGTGGGTGCTGCGGGGTGGGGGGTGCAGGCACCCGGCCGAAAGGCAAAGTCTGGATAAGGCGAAAAAAAATGAAAGAAAAGAACAGCGACCGCCCCCAAACCGGGCGCTTTGCCACCCAAAACTGGCGCGCCCGTGGCCCTCGGTGCCGGTGGCCAGTGCTGGCCCCGGGGTGCCGCACGGATGAGCTTGGGGACAGGGACACTGTCATAGGGCTGTGCTCTCTGATTCCTCCTCCTCCTCCTCCTGCCGGGGGGTCAGGCTCGGCCCTGAGAGTCTCTGCGCTGCCTCCTGCGGGTCCCGGCACTGGGCAGCATCCGGGGGGACGTGGAGGGAGGGGACCTCAAAACGGAGCAGACCTGTGGGAGGGCACAGTGATGGGGGACACTGCGGCGGGGGCTCGGGGGCAGGACACCCACCGGGGCTGGCACCGTGTTAGTGCCACCACCAGGGATGTCACCCCGCTCCATGCCACCCCGCCCGAGCCGGTGGTGACACCGGCTGCCCCGCCCCTCCCAGGGGACCCGCAGGGCGAGGCTGCACCTGTGGGGACAGAGGGTGACCCCAGCCCCGGGTGGGCGGTGTCACCATGTCCCTTGCTGAGAGCGGAGCAACCCCAGGTGGGCAGGAGCTCCTGAGGGCACGTGGCAGGGGAACTGCCCCCGTGCCAGGGGCAACGCCAGGGTGTGATGTCAGGGCTGCAACCACGCCAGGGCGCAGTGCCAGGGTGCAGTTCCAGATCCACAGCAATGCTGGTGCCACCCAAAGGCAGGTGGCAGCCCTTGAGGAGTGCCCTGCCCCACGGGGTGCCCGGGGCTCAGTGCTACCCACGCTCTCCCACCCCCCGCAGGCAGGACGGGCACACAGGGACAGAGCCCTCTGCCCCACCAGACCCTGTGGAGGCTCCCTGACCCCACATGTGCCCAGCCCCTGTGTCCCTCGGTGTCCCTGATGTCACCTGGCCATTCCCAAAGCATCCCCCTGACTGTACCTCTCCAACAGCCCCCACTGCTGCAGGGACACGGGGCGGGGGGTGGGACACACGACACCAACAAAGCCCAGGGACAGCAAGGGCAGAACAGCAGGAACAGCAGGAACAGCAGCACAGGCTCATGAGGCTTCCCAGGGACAATGCCACCTTCCTGGGGACACTGCCAGCTTCCAAGGGACATAGCCAAGTGCCCGACTACATTCCTGGGCTCATCACCACCTTCCTCAGGACAGTTCCACTTTTCCAGGGACATCACCACCTTCCTGACTACATGGCCACCCTCATAGGGGTGTTGCCACCTTCCTGGGGACACTGCCATCTGCCTGGGGACATTGCCACCTTCCTGGGGCCAGAACAACCTCTCTGTGGCCAGTTCTGCCTTGCCAGTGATACAGTCCCCTTCCTGGAGACATCACCACCTTCCTGAGGATGCTGCCACCTTACCAGTGACCCATCCACCTTTCCAGGGACACCGTCACCTTCCTGGGGACAATGCCACCTTCCTGGGGACACTGCCACCTTCCTGAGGACATTGCCACCTTTCTGGGGATACCATCACCTTCCTGAGGATGCTGCCACCCTCCTGGAGACATTGCCACCTTCCCGGGGCACAATTCTGTCTTTCCAGGGACATTGTCATGCTCCTGGAGGACACTGTCACAACTGCCATCTTCCTGGGGACATCCCCACCTTTCCAGGGCATGGTTCTACCTTTCTGGGGCCAGTTCCACCTTTCCAGGGACATTGCCACCTTCCTGGGGACACTGCCACCTTCCCGAGGACATCGCCACATTTATGGGGATACCAACACCTTTCTGAGGATGCCGCCGCCCTCCTGGGGACATCTCCACCTTCCAGGGCACAGTTCTGCCTTTCCAGGGCCAGTTCCACCTTTCCAGGGACATTGCCACCTTCCTGGGGACATTGTCATCTTTATGGGGACACCACCACCTTTCTGAGGATGCTGCTGCCCTCCTGGGGACATCTCCACCTTCCGGGGCACAGTTCTGCCTTTCCAGGGACACTGTCACCTTTGGGAGGACACTGCCACCTTCCTGGGGACATCTCCACCTTCCAGGGCACAGTTCTGCCTTTCTAGGGCCAGTTCCACCTTTCCAGGGACTTTGTCACCCTCGTGGGGGACGCTGCCACCTTCCAAGGGACACAGCCAACTTCCCGACTGAGCTCACCACCAACTTTCTGGGGGGACGCTGCCACCTTCCTGCGGACATCACCTCCTGCCAGGGCACAGTCCTGCCTTCCCAGGGACACTGCCACCCTCCCGGGGCGGGGTGGGGGGGCCGCTGCCACCCTCCCCAGAGCCCCCCCCCCGGCCCCCGTGTGCCCCCGCCGGGGTTACCTGTGAGCGCG